TGTAATTTTTCAGAGGTGTGTGCCCAGGGCTGATTTGGCTAGGGTTGCTGGTCAGTTTTCGGAGGAGTTGGTAACAAGCAGCAGGTTGTCTTCCTGTGGGTGACTGAACTGCCTCCTCCTTTTACTCCAAACATCTCCATAAATTCCAACTCTAAGAAAGTTTGGAGCACTTGGCTTTCAAGTTATTTTTCTGGCTTCCTGAGAACACACATCTTCCCTATTGGTAAGATTTCTCTGGTAGTCGTTGAGATATTGAAATTGCTCATTTCAAAATTTATACTTAACAAAAAATTCAAGTTCAAACTACGCAGAACAGTTTGACACTTATAGATGCTATTTGGCTTTCCTCAATTAAAAGATAGCTAAATTAAAAATGCACATTGTATAAAATCATCAAAACCAATAGGAATCACATTTTCTAAAATTGATAGTGTAACCAGAGTGGCTTTTCAGATGATCTACCATTTTCATAACTGATTTAATTAGTAATTTCCTGCATCTAATGACTTTATAATTAAACCATAATGGCACATACAAGCTTATGTATATTCATGGGGATTAGTTACAACAAAACAAACTATAATTAACTATAAATTGTAAATTTACTTTCATTTATGTAAAATTTTCTTCTATATAATATATTTTTTTAAAAAATAGAACAAAATAATAAATACATGACACTTCATCAATGAATAAACTATAGAATGGATATCCTATTTTTATTTTGTTTGCTTTTTTCATTCTACACTCTTTTAGACTGAAATATCTTAGTTTATATAATTACTTAATATAATTAATATAATTACATTACTGTATTTTTATAATAAGTTCATAGATAAAGTTTCCTACTGTGCATGCAAAACAAATAAATATAAATCTTGAATGGTAAAATACATAAAATCAATTTTAATTCTATAGTATACACTTTATAGGTATACATGTATATCTTCTACTTGGTTCTACAATATTTAACATTAAATTTTCTTTGAATTCATCAAATTATACATAATATTGTATTTCAAATTCAAAATGTATAATTGCAATAAAATACATTATTTTGGCATGTAGTCCCTTTGATTAATTTTTTAATTTATAAGTAATTAGTTTTATTATTTAAATAAATAATTAAATATAACTTCCTTTACTTAAGTTATTTCTTATAGTAATAGAAAATAGACATCTCCATATTAAGTATTTATTTTAACCACTTAAATAGCTAAGAAAAGTAAAACCAGGATAATTATGTAGAAAAGAGCAATTACTGTGAGGTTAAGGAAATTAAAACACGTAGATAGATTATTAGAAGGCAGTTAAATCAGCAAATAAATAACACGTAGACACAAACCAATTCGGATACAGATACATACATAGATAAACCAAAAGTCAAACCCACAGCCATCTACATTATTTTCATATCTTGCACCGGCCACTGTTTCCTTTCCCCAGTGATTTCTGTTGCTCATCCCCCTGAAGTGGGGTGTGTGTCGTTATGTGTCCATCATCTCGTGATCAGTTCCCCCTTCTTCCCCACCTCTCCCCACCTTCCCCCTACCCCTCTGGTATTGTTAATCCCATTTCTGTTCCTGGATTCTGAGTGTTATGGACTCATCTCTTAGTTGTACCTATGCACATGCTCCTGTCTCACCTGCAGTGCGGTCATGATAGTGGTGTGGTGAGAAGCCTCCAGGGAACCAAAGAATATTGAGTGTTTCATTAGTGCTTTAATGCACCCTGATTGAGTCATTCCCTTCCCTGTGACCCCTCTGTGAGAGGACGTCCCATTGTCGATAGGTGGGCTGTGGGTCTCTGTCTGGATCCCCTCTTTCTCAACAATGTTTCGTTTGTTTGTTTGTTTGTTTGTTTGTTTGTTTGTTTGGGGTCTTATGATGCTTGCTACCTGGTCCTGGCAACAGCTCATGATCACACAGGCTTGTGTGCTTCATCCAATCCTTGTTGCTTCCCTGCTAAATGGTCGCTTGTTTATCTTTAAGCTTTTAAGACCCCAGATGCAATATCTTTTGATAGCTGGCACCATTCGCTTTCTTCACCACATTTGCTTATGCACCCATTTTGTCTTCAGCGATTGTGCAGGGAGGGATAGCATCACAGAATTCCAGGTTGTTAGAACAAAGTGTTCTTGTATTGATGGAGGGAATGAGCAGAGGCCCGAAGTCTGTCCACTAACTCAGTGTATTATTATATAAATATATGTACATAGGCCACTACCTCTATTTTTATGAACTAATGTTATTTACATATATACACACCTATATCCATAGATTTGTTTCCTAGAAAGTCCTTATGTTTTCTTTTACCTTCCTCCTGGCCCACCATCATACTTGCCCTACTTCCACCACTTAATAATTTCTCTAAGCCAGATTGTAGTTGCTCCAACACTCCCAGGATATCTATGTCCTCCTTGTTGTTGATTTTAATTCCCTAGTTGTTTCCCTGCCGATGGCATTGTTTGCTGACCACTCCCTTCCACCACCTCCTTCTCTCCCAAGTCCCTCGGAGACTATTGATCCCATTGCTTTCTCCTCAAGCTTGCTTCCCATGCCTATCTTATATAAGTAGGCAACCAGCATTAGCAGAGATCAAACAGAAAGAAAACAAAAGATAGAAAGAAAAACAAACATATGTAACTCCAGGTCTGTCTGTTGACCTTTATGACTGTCTCCTAGCTGGTCCTGGGGGAATTCTGGGAGCTGGCCCTACTAGCTTGAAGTCCATTTAGGGGATTCTTCAGGGGCTTTGTGGCTTGGCTTTGCTCTTGTTGCTGAGCTGCTGTGTATCCCCAGCATTGTCCTCTGTTGCAGTATGATCCAGTGAGGGAATATCATGTCTCAAACAGTTGTTGGACCTACAGTCCTCTCTGTGCCTTGTCAAGTCTGTGTGTGGTGTGCCGATGTGGGTTCTGAGTGTCCCTTTCTCTTTTTATTTCTTGGTTTGTTTTTGTGTGGGCATGGCATGCTAATGATTTTATTTATGGGTTTCCTGTTCTTTTCCATTGTCCAGAGTATCTGTCATTCTATCAGTAACATGTTGTTTTGACCACTGTGGCTGTATAGTAGGTGTTAAAGTCAGGTAAAGCAAGCTTTCTGACTTTGTCCTTCTTATTGAGGAGTTCTCTGCTAATTCTCAACTTCTTCTCTCTCCATATGAATTTGGTGGTCAGTTTTTCCAATTCTTTGAAGAAGGTCATTGATATTTGAATCGGGATAGAGTTAAACTTATATAGTGCCATGGGTAAGATTGACATCTTTACTATATTGAGTCTTCTGATCCATGACCATGGGATATTCTTCCATTTGTGGATTTCAATTTTGTTTTTCTGTAGTATGGTCCTATAGTTTTCCTTGCATAAGTTGTTTGTTTTTAAGGTTAAATATATCCTCAAATATTTCAATTTGTTCTTGGCTATTTTGAAGGTCACTGCCTTCTTGAGCTCCTCTTCCCTGGTCTTTTCCGAAGAGTATAGCATATCAATAGACTTCAGTTCATTGATTTTGTGTCTTGTCACTCTTCAATCTTCCTCTATTGCTGTCAGTACTCTTGTGTTAGAACTTTGGTAATTTTCAATGTACAGAATCATGCCATCTGTAAATAGTGATAGTTTCACCTCCTCCTCTCCTATTTGGATACTTTAATGCTCTTCTGCTGTCTTATTTTGTTAGCTAGTACCTCCAGTATGATGTTGAATAGAAGTGGGGAAAGGGGCATTCTTGTCTAATCCCATTTTTCAGTGGGATTGTTTTAATCTTTTCTCCATTGACTATGATGTTGGATTTTCATTAAGAGGTTGTATTAACTTGAGGAATTTCCCTTTTATGCCTACCTTCTTGAGTGATTTAATTAGGAAAGGGTGTTGGATGTTGTCAACTGCTTTTTCTGCATCTATCAATATTATCACGTGATTCATATACTTTTCCTTCTCAATGTGGTGTATAATATTGATAAGATTTCTGGATGTTAAACCATCCCTGCAACCCTTGGATGAGTCCTACCTGATCATGGTGGATGATATGTTTTATATACTTTTGTATTTTATTGGCCAATATTTTCTTTTGAGTTTTTGCATTCATGCTCATTGGAGATACCGGTCGATAGTTCTCTATTCCTGTAGGATCCTTGCCCTGTTTGGGTATCAAAGTTATACTGACTTTGTAGAATGAGTTTGGGAGTTTGCCATCCTTTTCTGTGGTCTGAAATAATCTGTGGAGGATCAGTGTCAACTCTTCCCTGAATAGTTGGTAGAATTCTCCTGTGAAGCCAACTGGTCTGGTAGATTTTTTTGTTGGTTGTATCTTGATAACCATATCTATTTATTCATTTTCTATGGGTCTGTTGAGGCTCTTGACCTCTATCGAGGACAATCTAGGGATAGGTTGTTTTTCCAAGTATTGTCCATGTCTTCCATGTTGTTGAATTCATCAGAATACAGACTTCTATAGTACTTTGTGGTTACCCTTTGACTCTCGTTGGGGTCTGCTGTGATTCTCACTGCTTCGTCCCTCATCCTGGCTATTGATGTTTGCTCCTTCTTTCAAGGGAATAAATATTTTTTTTTTAATTGACAACAGGAGAAGCACAAGAGGAAATATTATCCTCTTTTGAAATGTTATTTTATTTTGTACTTAAGTACAAAAAGTATATAAAACGTAACAGGAAAAAATAAATTGAGGTGTCTTGATGGAAAACAAAAGAGCATTGCCTTCTTGTCTAAAGATCTCCTGATATGTTGTTAGTTTTGCACTTTAGATATCAAATTAAGATACTTAGATTGAAACAAAAGTTGATACCCTGTATAGTTAAGCCATAGTTAACTTCATGCATATCCAGAAATAAGAGATTTTCTAGTCTTATCCTAACTATTGGCTATACAACATATGCTGATAGAGCAAAATGCAAGCTTTTATCATTGGACAACAAGAGCAGAATGGGTGAATGAATGCAACTTACCTCCAAGTAGCCTGAAAGGAGGTGGAAAAATAAATACAAAGAATATGGAATGCTTTGCGAAATTGCATGTCATCCTTGCACAAGGACCATGCTAATCTTCTCTGTATCGTTCCAATTTTAGTGTCTGTGTAGCCAATGCAAGCACAGGATATGAATCTTTAAGGGATTAAAGAGTCTCTTCTTTCATGCTCCAATCAACGTATGCATTTGAACAGGATACCTTGCAATTAGCAACCCGATTTCAATCCCACTGTTAGTCTGAGTACTGTAGAGAAACAAATCCACAGAAACTCATTTATAAGAAAGAGTTTTATATAAAGGTTAAGTGCACATCAAGAAAACATCCCAACCCAGTGCTGCCCAAGCCCACAAGTCTAACATTAACCCATATGCCCAACACCAATCCACAACATCCTCCTCCATCTCACAAAATACACTCAAGGATGCCGACTGCAGGAGGAAAGTGAAGTCAGTGAGCATGCAAGCATCTGTGTTAGACAGGGTTCTCTAGAGAGACTAAACCAGATTGCTAATAATTATATCTACATATATTTATATAGATAAATAGAGAGATGACACAAGAAATAAACAGCTAAATTATAAAGCAGTTATACAGAAAGACAGATATATAACACAAGAAATAAACAGTTAAATTATAAAACAGTACAAATGGCTCAGTGCAATTCAAACGTGTTAGAGAGTTGTGAGACACTGGAAGTCCTTCAAGTCTTAAGGGCTGCCAGGTAGTCCTCTGTGGAGAGATTCAGATTCTCCGGGCACCAGAAGCCAACAGCAAGGCAGGTCACCAACAGGCAGCCAGGTCACCAACAGTCAGTCCCCAGCTCAAGAGATGTAAATGTCATTTGTATGGTGAAGCAGGTTTTGAAGGAACCTCAGATTACAGCAACACAGTCCACAGGTTAGGTGTCCCACAGGTAGTGTAGCTTGCAAATTGAGGCACAGAACAAGCAAGGCAGCTGCACACAGGTCACATGATCAAAGAGCAAGAGACAAGCAAGTTGAGGCTCACCTAGTCATTTATCTCTCCGCCCTTCAATTAATCCCACATGTGTTTATCAGCCAGGCTGGCACAATAAACTAACTACCTCAGCATGTCAGCGCTGACAGGGGTCTCCACACGGCTGCTCCAGCACCCAGGGCTGCATCAGGGTAGGGCCATGCTGCTTCTCCTCAGGGATGTCTTGCAGGAAGTGAACCTTGCAAGCTGAAGCAGGGAACTGGCTAAGGCAGCTACACCCTGGTCTGACCATCAGAGAGCAAGAGACCTGAGAACTCAATAGGCTAGGCTGACCGAGTCATTTATCCCTCCACCCTTCAATTAATCCCACATGTGTTTATTGGCCAGGTTGGCACAATAAGCTAACTCACCCACAGTATCACCACACCTGATTAGGCATATGTGTGTATTTATATATATATACACATACACATATATTATGATACATATACACACATACATGTATGCATATATGTGTATATATAATAAACTGTCACAAATACTTGTTATTTGTTGTTAGCTGCAGTTAAGTGGGTTCCAACTTATAATGGCCATTTTTTAACCAAAGAAACACTGCCTGCATCATCTGTATAATTATTATGTCTGAGCCAACTGTTGTTCCCCTGTGTTACTCCTTCTTGTAGAGGGCCTTCCTCTGATTCGATGTCTCTCTTACTTATAAAGCATGATGTCCTTCTTCAGAGACTAGTCTCTCCTGGAACATGTCTAAAACACATGAGGTGAAGTCTTGCCATCCTTGACACTAAGGAGAATTTCTAGTTGTACTTTTTCCAAGACAGATTTGTTTGTTCCTTTGGCAGTCCATGGTACTTTCAATATTCTCCCAAACACCATAATGAAAAGGCATCAATTCTTCTCTAGCCGTCCTTATTCAATGTCCTACTTTGATAAAATATGAAGTTATTGGAAACACTGTACCTATAAGTTAAGCAATTTTGGTCTTTAAGTAACATCCTGGCAGATGATTGCTATACCAAGGTTAGAGAACTGGTGATTATTGGACTTTGCTTTGCTCTGGACTTTATTGCCTTGAGCATGCCCAATGAATGGTGACTTCAGACCAACTCATATTTTCTCTTTTCACATTCTCTGCATTTTTGGTGACACATATTAGTCTACGAAGCATGATTCTGCCTTTGTAAATGGCATTTCCATATGTCTAATCCTCATGGCTTGTGTAACTAACATTTAGCCACCAAAATTTCAAAGTTGTAGAAGTTAACCATTCAAGTGTTGTAGTCTTATAAGATGGCCTACAGAAGTCCCATGGAGATGGATTCTGCTGTAGTCCAATAAAATATAATGTTATCTATAAAGTGAAATGGGAACATTATATAAAGTATGGATATAATATAGTAATCCTAATATAAGATAGATCAGTTCTTGTGGCATCACCTTATCATATGTGCTGTCATGAAGAGATCACCTGAGGTACAGATACTATAGCAATGTGTAGGGAAGAAATCTGGTGGTGCCAAACTATCAGGAAAAAACAATAGTGCCTGGGGTCTTAAAGGGCTCGTCTAAAAGCAAGCAGCCATCTAAGTCCACACAGAAGAAGCACACCAGCATGTATGAGTCAAGGATCGCAAGTAATACAATTTAAGCATGGAAAAGGAAATGGTACCAGGGCCTAAATTATAAACAACTGCATTGTATAATTCTATGGGTGATAGTGGGATCCCAAAATCCATTTGTGGCATCCCTAATGTGCATTAAGTCCACAATGCATCCCACTGACAATAAGGTGAAGAGACTTAATATGAGACAATTAGCATTGTAAGGTTGACTTCAGCAACTGCAATTAGGTCAAAATGTGACACCTTGTCATTATATCTCCCTTTGGATCCATTTTTAATTTATTCCAGTGTTTTAAATATTGTCTACTTTCTTTTCTGTTGATTTTTTTTTCGTATTTGGTCATTATTACTGGAATATTAATATTGGAGTTTTTCTGTCTTTCTGTAATGTGCTTTTTTGTATCAGGAAGTCTGATGGGCAGACCCATGAAATTAATAAATGGATTAACAATTACCTGTGGACACATAAGGGGCATAGGGGAAAAATCAGGAGTCAACAGAAATGATTTCAAGATGGAAGAAAATGTTCCAAAGTTTATTTTGTTGATGAATAGACAACTCTTCTTAATATAGTTGAACCAATAAATTATATGATATATTAATTATAGCTCAATAATATTTTTTAGCTCAATAATATTTTTAAAGAGGTCTTGTGTAACAGATTTACCTAACAGAATGTGTCATTTTGTCTCTTAACTGCCACTTACATGGACATTGATTTGGATCCAAGAAAGACAAAATCCTTGACTGCAAACTTTGGTCAAGTTGTGAGGATTTGGGCTTTCTTTACATTAAATTATAATACACAGTGAAGGCTTATATTAGTCTAGGTACTTTAGAGAAACAAATCCACAGCAACTTATGTATAAGAGAGTTTTATGTGAAGAAAGTGTGCATCACAAAACATCCCAACCCAATGCTGCCCAAGCCCACAGGTCGAACATTAACTCATTAACCCAACACCAGTCCACAAAGTCCTCCACCTCACAAAACAGAGGCAATGATGCCGACTGCAGAAGGAAAGCTGAGTCAGTGAATGAATAAGCATCTCAGCACTAGCAGGGATCTCCACACAGCTGCTCCAGCACCCATGGGGTGCTGCATCGGGATAAGTCCATGTGGCTTCTCCTTGGGGATGTCTTGTAGGAAGTAAATCTTGCAAGCTGAAGCAGGGAACTGCTAAGGCAGCTGCACTCTGGTGCGACCATCACAAAGCAAGAGACCCGAGAACTAGAAAGGCAAGGCTCACCACCCATTTATCCCTCTGCCTTTCAATTAGCCCCACATGTCATTATCGGCCAGGTTGGCACAATTAACTAACTCAAGGCTGAAAAAGCTGATCATATCAGCAAGTCCTTCAAGTCCTCTTCACTTTCAGCATATACTTACAGGGGGTTGTACTTTATTCCGATCTATAAAGATGATTTAAATGTAAAAACATAGTGAATTCCTTAAGAGCATTATAAAAAGTCAGAACTATGGATTTTCTTTATTATTTTTCTTGTTGAGTGCCTTCAAATTTGGGCTCATCTAGGCATCCTATGAGCAACAGAAGGAAATATTGCTCAGGAATTCACTATTCTCAATTTTTGGGGTATATTTGAGCTCACTGTTGTACACATTGTGTCAATCCATTTCTCTAAAGGTCTTCCTCTTTTTCACTGACTCAAACCCCCCGCCCCCTTTTTTTAACCACTCATTATGTTCTTTTCCAGGAACCAGTCTTCCCTGATCCCATGTCCACAGTACTTGATATAAAGTCACATAAAGCCCAGCCATCCTCACTTCTCAGGAATGTGCTTGTTGCACTTCCTTCAAGACAGATTTGTATTTTTGCTCCTCTGATAGTTTGTGATACTTTCAATATTCTTGACAAACATAATTTAAATGCATCAATTATTCGACAGTATTTTAAAAATTGACTTTCACATGCATATGAGGAATTTGAAAATATCATGACCTGAGTCAGTAACATTTTAATCTTCATTGTGACATCTTGGGTCTTGTACAGCTGATTTTCCCACAGAAATAAAACGTTTGATTTTTTTTCTTTTTTTTTTTCAATGCCTGATTGTTGCTTCCATGAGCTTTAATTGTGGATTCAAGTAAAACAAAAAGAAACCTTGACAACTTCAATACTTTCTCCATTTTATGATGCTATGGCAGTTACATAATCGCCTGTTAGCTTGAATGAAGGGGTGTAGCCTAGCCTGTCAAGGCACAGCCTATCATGTCTCTGGTGGGCGTGGATTTTTCCTCAGGGTTCTGGGAACTCCTGTTTTCCTCTCTGGAGGCGGGATATACACTTTCTCTGTTTCAGATTCCTGAGGACAAGCCAGATGTAGCTACACTGATGGAGCCAGAACCCTGGAGCTGGGGGAGCTGTGTGGGGACCCATAGCCAGTGCTGAGATGCTTCCACTGCCACTGAAACTACAAGACTTTCTACCCACTGGCCTGTGATCTGCCTACATTTGACATTATAGCATGGGTTACAAGAGTCTGAAGAGGATTTTTTAGACTGGTG